GAGTTGAGCGCCGCCAAAGCCCTGCTCTGGAAGTAGACGCGCGATGGGCGGACAGGAGCGGACGGACTTCTTGCTCTCGTCTCGCTTCTTGCCCGCTTGCCCTCGTCTCTTCCTCTTTGAGTACGTGCACTCCTCCTTCTCCTCCTCCTCTTCCGCTTCCTTCTCCTCGTCGCCCTCCTCCTCCTCCTCCCTCCTCCTCCTCCTCCTTCTCCTCGTCCTCCTCCTCCTCCTCCTCCTCCTCCTCCTCCTCCTCCTCCTCCTCCTCCCTCTCCTCCTCCTCCTCCTCCTCCTCCCTCTCCTCCTCCTCGTCCTCCTCCTCCTCCCTCTCCTCCCGTCCTCGTCAGAGTTCTGCAGTGCGCGCTCGCAGGCCAAGGCGAGCCCGCGCCTCGCGCACGGGCGCCGTGCAGACCGAGACCGTGCCTGCAAATGCGGTCGCGATTGGATGAGCATCCAAAGAGGCCACGTCCCAGGCGGCTTGGGCGTCGCGTAACTCTGCGCGAACGAGATGGGCACGGAAAGAAGGGGTGCAATGCTCAACAGCAGTTCCTGTTCATTCTGGACCGGATTCGCCGTCGGCGTCGCCGCAAATTGTGTCAATTTGGGACAAGAGGCCGCCTGCCAAGCAGCGGCCGCCGTTGATTCGGGAGGACAACGTTTGCTGTTGGGCATTGTGCCCATTCTTTCCGTGCCCATTTCGGGCGTCCAAAGGAAGGGGGGGGTCAGAAATGGGGGGGGGGATGGCGAGGGGGGGGGGCGAGGGTGGTCCGACAATGTGCCCAAAGGGTGCCTGAACGAGCCCCACCCCCCCCCGGGCTCCGGAGGGGCCCGGAGAGGGGTCGCGAACGGGGGCCGCTGCCGGCCCCGCCGGCTGTGACACCCCCCGCGAAGCCACGCCCGAGCGGCCTGCCCGCCGGGCGCGGCCGCCCTGCGTACGGGTGGGGCCGCTGCGGACCGCGCCGCGCTGCCCCGCGAGGCCGGGCGCGGTGCGGACGGGGCGGCCGCGAGCGGTCCCGGAGCGGTCTCGGGGCATTTTGGAGCCGTCTTGGAGCGGTCTGGGGCTCAGTGGGCCCTGGAAGCGGCGGGGCCGTTTTTTTACCGGTTCCGTTTCGCGGTTTTGCTGCCGGTTCCGACGCCGTTTTTGTGACTGGTTCCGTCGCCGTTCTTGGGATGCGATCTTGGGGCCTCCTGGAGCATCGCCGGAGCCATCATCTTGAGGCATCTTGGGATGCGGTCGTGGGGCCTCCTGGAGCATCGTGGGAGCCATCTTGAAGGCATCTGGGGATATCTTGAGCCCTCTTGGAGGTCGCTCCGACATGGCGAACAAAACTGCAGCACCGTGAACATCCGCGCCCGGGGCCCCGGACCCCATTCTGCGTGCGTCGTTTCGGGGGCCGAGAAGAGGCGCAGACGCCCGGCTCGAAAAAACGGAGTCGCCAGGATCCTCCGCCCCCTCCTCCCCCTCCTCCCCCTCCTCCTCCTCCTCCTCCTCCTCCTCCTCCTCCTCCTCCTCCTCCTCCTCGTCCTCCTCCTCCTCCTCCTCCTCCTCCTCCTCCTCCTCGTCCTCCCCCTCCTCCCCTCCCCCCCCCTCCCCCTCCCCCTCCCCTCCCCCCTCCCCCTCCCCCTCCCTCCTCTGGGGGCGCCGCCGCGGCGAGGCCTCGGGGAGCCCGCCCAGCGCTCGTGGGCGCCCGCGAGGCGCCCACGAGCAGCACGGGCGCCCGCGAGGCGGAGTCCTCGCGGAAGCCCCCCCGGCGCAGGGGGCGCCCACCGGCTGCCCGCGAGCGGGCGCCGAGGCGAGGCCTCGGGCTTGGCATCGCTCGGACGTGTGCATGTTTCCTTCGGCGAGGACCATCGAGGAGCATCCTTGATCGTCCTTGATCATCGCGAGGACGTCTGCATTTTTCCTTCGGCGAAGACCATCGAGGAGCATCCTGGATCATTTGCCGAAAAAGCCACGCGCGAAACCGAACGAAAAACACGGGGAATGGACCTCCGAGCGAGGGCCAGCGGGAGACCCGCCCGGCGCACCGGGCGCCCCCACGGAGCTCGGGAGGGGCAAAAACACACAGGCAAAAGTATGCATCGTCGAGCCCCCAGAAGAGATGGAAAAGATGGGGAGTGGAGGAGGAGGAGGAGGAGGAGGGAGGAGGAGAGGAGGAGGAGGGAGAGGAGAGGAGGAGGAGGAGGAGGATGGGGAGGAGGGGGAGGAGGGGGAGGAGGGGGAGGAGGGGGAGGAGGGGGAGGAGGAGGAGGAGGAGGAGGAGGAAGAGGAGGAGGAGGACCCAGAACATGTGGGAAGAGATGGGGCATCGGGTTGCCTGTGTGTATTTCTTTGCGTGCCCCAGGGCCCCGTCAGAGGCGCCCACGAGCGAGCACTGGCTCGAAGTCGGGCCTGTCCCTCTGCAAGAGGAATTTTCAAACATAGTCATAAAAACAGTCTGGGGATGATTTTTTAAGAGATCTATATATATATATATATATAGACACACATATATGCAGCATTTCGGGAGTATGCTTGGCGTATTTTTGATTTTTCGCCCAATATCCCCCTAGTAGGGGGATGCGCCCGACCTAACGCCTGCGCCAACGTGGCGAAGACCCAGGAAACGCATCCAATGGTCTGCGCAAGGTGAGTAAAGCCCCCAGGTGCAAGCTCCGCTCGGGGAAAAAATCGTGAAGTAGATTCGGGCGACGAGATCTGAACATACAGTGGAAACCCATGCCGAGAAACACCCTGCTTGCCTCCAGGGTGCCCTGGGTTTCTTGGGTTTCGATGTTTTTGCCAATGAAATCGTGACGCTCCCACACCAAAAATAATTGGACGTCCTGGGGTCTCAGGGTTGGATTTCTTGTGGACGGTTTTTTTTGGTCGAGCTCCTACTGTATATCCTCCGCCCTCGGTGTGTGCGACTCCCTGGGGAGCGTGTACACCGCTCCTGGGCCCAGATGGCCCTGGCCAGAGGCAGTGGATACGTATACCCTGAGATCCGACGCTGCGGAAAAAAACATCGCGCCAAGTCACGACCAGAGCTCCAGACCCTTGAGTAGGGGATCGACTACAGAATTGATTTACCCCGAACATGTTTCTGTCCGCCGAATCTGCGAAAAGCACGTAGAATGTTCAGTAGATCTACTGAATGTTCTACGTATTTGTGGTCGTGGATTCGACGGGGAGACAAATTCTAGACGGTTCGCCTAACCCCATCAGCCGCCGGCAGTTCCCTCAGCTCAGCCCCGGCAGCTCCCCATCTGAGGCCTCGGCCGCGCCGAGTTGTCGCCTCGCCCCTCGCTCTGTTTGTTCTTCCCGCGTTTCCCTTGCCTAATTTGTCGTTGCGCCGCCCGCTCTGACTGGACTCGCCGCTGGCGCTCTCGCCTGCGGCCGCTGACTAAAAAGTAACCCCACCAGCCCATCCAGAAACGATGCCCAGAGGAATTGCCTCGATCAAGGAAGTGGGCAGCACACAGAGGAAGGGTCCCCCAGTGGAGGCCTCTTGGAGCGTCTTGGGGGCCTCTTGGCGGTCCCGGACGCCTCTTAGAGCGTCTTGGGTACCTCGAAGAGCTTCTTGGGTCCTCTTGGGGGTCTCTTGGGAGCTTCTTAGAGGCCGCTTGGGCGCCTGTTGGGGCCTCCTGGGGCCTTCTGGGCGCCTCTTGGGGCCCTCTTGAAGCGCTCTTGGGAGCCTTGGGAGCGCTCTTGGAGCCCTCTTGGGCCATCTTGGAGCCATCTTGAGGCCTCGGATGGCCATCGGAAGCGAAAAGGCGAGAAAGCAACAAACATTGATTTTCCGAAGGTTTGGGAGGGATTTTGGCCTCTTCGGGGCCTCCTGGCGGAGCTCTATGGCCATTTGGAGCCGTCTTAGAGCGGTCTTGGGGCCTCTTGGAGCATCGTGGGAGCCATCTTGAGGCATCTTGGGATATCTTGAGCCATCTTGGAGGTCATCTTGGGCTCTCCCAGGCGCTCTTTGAGTCATCTTAAGCAGTGCCCCCCCCCCCCAGGAGGCCAAAATGTGGCCAACACCTTGGTAGAATCAATGATTTGGGCATTGTCGCCAAGGCCTCTTTGAGCGTCTTGGGTGCCTCTGGGGGGCCACTGGGGGCCTCTTGGGGGTCACTTGGGAGCCTCTTGGGGGCATCCTGGGGGCCTCTTGGGGGCCTCTTGGGGCCTCCTGGCCACCTCTTGGGGCCCTCTTGGGGCACCCTTGGGAGCCTTGGGAGCGCTCCTGGGGCCATCTCGGAGGAGATCGATCAAAGAAGGGGGGTTCCTTAATTAGCGTCGCCCCCCCCCCCACCCCCCCCCAGGAGGCCGAAATGGGGCCAAAACCTTTTGTGAAACCAATGGGCTTCGCCCCGCCCAGGTCCAGGGTAAGGGGTAGGGGGAGGGGTAAACCCCTCCCCGAAGGGGAAGAAGGGGGTGAGAGAGGAAACAGCCTAAACCACCTACGCCCTAAAAGGCTGGTGGGATTTGGGGGTGCATCAATTCTGCAGACGATCCCCTACTCGAGACCTCATCTTCTTTCTGCGCCACGCTTCGAGCCAGATCGATATGTGATGGTCCTGTGTCCCGGGGCCAGACGCCGGGGTGGACACGCCCGGTGCAGAAGTCCAGTCGAGCATCTGATCAAGAAGCCTCCTTCCGAATGGCCGGGCCAGCGTTTCCTTACCAGCGCGCCGGCGAGCTGGCCCAGTGTCTGGAGCACGTTCGCCCTTCCAGCGTGAGCAGCAGAAGCTGGCCCAGGTTGGCTTCAAGAAGCCTCCGGGAAGCCGGCCCTGGTTGCTTCGATGCGGGCGTTTTCGAGCACACGTTTGTTCCTGGCACCGCCCGGACGTGTGCCTTTTTTTCCTCCGGCGAGGGCCATCGAGGAGCGCCCTTGATCCCTCGGCGAAGAAGCCACGCACGAGGGGAGGGAGGAGGAGGAGGAGGAGGAGGAGGAGGAGGAGGAGGAGGACGTCCGAGCGATGGCCAGGGCAGCGGCGCGCCGCGGGAGCGCGGCCCCGGGCCGGCCGAGGCCACCACGGCCACCGCGTCCGCCAGCCTGCCCGCCCCCGTGTCCACCTACGCGGCGCCCGCGCCCATCATGGGCGAGCCGCTGCCGCCCATCGTGGCGGAGCCGCAGTACATGCAGGCCTCGGGTCGGAGGAGGGGCCCGAGTCCACGGCACCGTGACGGGTACGCTTGCTAACGGGTGCTTTGGAATGTTGCCGAAGGTTGCCCTTTTAGAGGGCCTTGTTCTGGCACTGCGGCGTTGCCAACGTCGGGAAGGGTGGGGTTCGCTGGCAGCACACGGAGGAAGCCATTATGGGACATCTAGGGGTATCTCGAGCCATCTTGGAGGTCATCTTGGGCTCTCCCAGGCGCTCTTTGAGTCATCTTAAGCAGTGCCCCCCCCCCAAAAAAAAAGGGGCCGACATGTGGCTAAAACCTTAGTAAAATCAATGATCCGGCAAAGCAACCTAACAGCGATGTGTATGAGCACATTTGGAAGCATCCCCCTTAAGATTCAGATGATACTCCAGTTGTAGAATTCTGTTGTTCTCGCAGTCGTAGTCGCATTCGCGATGACAGTCGCAGTGGCAACGGCAGTCGCAGTCACAGCCTCAGCCTCAGCCTGCCTCAGCCTCAGCCTCAGCCTCAGCCTCAGCCTGCCTCAGCCTCAGCCTGCCTAAGCCTCAGCCTCAGCATGCTTCAGCCTCACCTCATCTGCCTTCAGCCTCGGCCTCAGCCATCAGCCTGCCTCAGCCCTCCCACTGCATCAGCCTCAGCCTCAGCCTCAGCCTGCCTCAGCCTAGCCATGCCCCAGCTCAGCCATCAGCCTGCCTCCGCCTCAGCCTCAGCCTGCCGCAGCCTCAGCCTGCATCAGCCTCAGCCTTAGCCTCAGCCTGCCTCAGCCTCAGCCTGCATCAGCCTCGCCTCAGCCTGCCTCAGCCTCAGCCTCAGCCTGCTTCAGCCTCAGCCTCAGTCTGCCTTCAACCTCGGCCTCCGCCTCAGCCTGCCTCAGCCTCAGCCTGCATCAGCCTCAGCCTCAGCCTCAGCCTGCCTCAGCCTCAGCCTGCCTCAGCATCAGCCTGCCTCTGCCTCAGCCTCAGCCTGCCTCTGCCTCAGCCTCAGCCTGCTTCAGCCTCAGCCTCAGTCTGCCGTCGGCCTCGGCCTCAGCCTCAGCCTGCCTCAGCCTCAGCCTCGCCTCACCTGCCCTCAAGCCTCAGCCTGCAATCAGCCTCAAAGCCTCACCCAGAACTGCCTCAGCAATCGCTCCTGCCACGCCTCAGCATCAAGCATCAGGCCTGCCTCAGCCTCAGCCTCAGCCTGCTTCAGCCTCAGCCTCAGTCTGCCTTCAGCCTCGGCCTCAGCCTCCGCCTGCCTCAGCCTCAGCCTGCAGGAGCCTCAGCCTCAGCCTCAGCCTGCCTCAGCATCAGCCTGCCTCAGCCTCAGCCTCAGCCTGCCTCAGCCTCATCCTCAGCCTGCTTCAGCCTCAGCCTCAGTCTGCCTTCAGCCTCGGCCTCAGCCTCAGCCTCAGCCTGCCTCAGCCTCAGCATCAGCCTGCCTCAGCATCAGCCTGCCTCAGCTCAGCCTCAGCCTGCCCTCTGCCTCTGCCTCGCCTCAGCCTGCGTCGGCCCCAGCCCAATCTGCATTCAGCCTCGCGGCGCCTCAGCCTCAGCCTGCCTCAGCCTCAGCCTGCATCAGCCTCATCCTTTATCAGCCTCAAGCCTGCCTCAGCATCACCTGCCTCAGCCTCAGCCTCAAAGCCTCAGCCTGCCTCAAGCCTCACCTTCGCCTCTTCACGCCTCAGCCTCAGTCTGCCTTCAGCCCTCGCCTCAACGACTCAGCCTGCACAGCCTCCAGCCTCAGCCTCAGCCTGCCTCAGCCTCAGCCTGGCTCAGCCTCCTCAGCCTCCAGCCTCAGCCTCAATAAAAAGGGCCCCCTCAGCCTGCCTCAGCCTCTGCCTCAGCCTGCTTCAGCCTCAGCCTGAGTTTGCCTGCAGCCTCGGCCTCAGCCTCAGCCTGCCTCAGCCTCAGCCTCAGCCTGCCAGCCTCAGCCTCAGCCTCAGCCTCGCCTCAGCCTCAGCAGCCTCAGCCTGCCTCAGCCTCAGCCTCAGCCTCAGCCTGCCTCAGCATCAGCCTGCCTCAGCCTCAGCCTCAGCCTGCCTCAGCCTCAGCCTCAGCCTGCTTCAGCCTCAGCCTCAATCTGCCTTCAGCCTCGTTCTCAGCCTCAGCCTGCCATAGCCTCAGCCTGCCTCAGCCTCAGCATCAGCCTGCCTCAGCATTGAAAATGTGGCCCGGGAGTGGAGTTCTGGGAACTCGAAGAACCCGAAGTGGCCTACAGTTGGCTCCGGGCCTTCAAATCATACCCAGGAATGGAGTTCTGGAAACTCGAAGACCACGAAGTGGCCTATAGTTGGCTCCGGGCATTCAAAGTCATGCCCAGGAACGGACTTCTGGGAACTCGAAGAACACGAAGTGGCCTACAGTTGGCCCCGGGCATTCAAAATCATGCCCAGGAATGGACTTCTGGGAACTCGAAGAACACGAAGTGGCCTACAGTTGGCCCCGGGCATTCAAAATCATGCCCAGGAATGGACTTCTGGGAACTCGGAGACCCCGAAGTGCGTTACTGTTGGCTAAAAAAGGAGTCCCCGGTTTCCCGGGGGTTTCCTGGGGCACCCTGTCCGGATCCCGCCCAGACCCCCCTCGGGAGTCATGATGCTCTTTTTTGACTTTATTAGAAACCCATCAGTCTTCGCTGTTAGGTAATGATTCGGCATTATCGCCGAGTTCTCTTGGAGCATCTTGGGTGCCTCTGGGGCGTCTTTGAGGGCATCTTGGGGGTCTCTTGGGAGCCTCTTGGGGGCATCCTGGGGGCCTCTTGGGGCTTCCTGGCCACCTCTTGGGGTCCTCTTGGGGGCCTTGGGGGCCATCTTCGGGCCATCTTGGGTGAGATCGATCACAGGAGGGAGGGGTGTCTAATTAGCGTCCCCCCCAAGAGGCCAAAAGGGGGCCAAAACCATAGTAAAACCAATGATTTTGGCTTCCTCACCGAGGCCGTTTTGGACGCTCCGACGACTCGCGGAACCCCCCGTCCAGGTCCAGGGGACGGGGTAGGGGGAGGGGTCAAAACACCCCCTCCCCGCCCGCAAGCCGTCTCGCTCACTCCCACCCGCCCTCCCAACAAATACGTAGCACCCGAGTCTGGCCCCAGCCTGAGCATATTCAGCAGTCGTCTTGGGATGGACAGCTACTGGGGGCCAATCTGGCGCCGCCGCCGCCTCTGCCGCCTCTGCCGCCTCTGCCGCCGCCGCCGCCTCTGCCGCCGCCGCCGCCGCCGCCCCCCGCTGCCAAACCGCCGCCGCCGCCGCAGTCACTGCCGCCACCGCTACCGCCGCCGCCGCCGCCGCCGCCGCCGCCGCCTCCGCCGCCGCCGCCGCCGCCGCAGCCGCCGCAGCGCCGCCGCCGCCGCCGTCGCCGCCGCCCCCCGCTGCCAAACCGCCGCCGCCGCCGCAGCCGCTGCCGCTGCCGCTGCCGCCGCCACCGCCGCCGCCGCCGCCGCCCGCCGCCGCCCCCGCCCCCGCCGCCGCCGCCGCCGCCGCAGCCGCCGCAGCCGCCGCCACCGCCGCAGCCGCCGCCGCAGCCGCCGTGCCAAGTGTACTCTGTATTGTTTTTTTGACAGGGATTTTTGGGGGGCCGCATCGGGTTGGCTGCGCATGTTCCGAATTTGGAGGCAGAGTGTGTTATATATATATATATATATATATATATATATATAAATAAATAAATAAATAATGATATAAAAAAGCGATGGTGTGGGGGGGTCGGCATGGACCCTGGTTGGCCCCCAGTCGCCTGGGGAAGGGGGTGCTTGTTAATAGGGAACAGTGATAAACCCCTCCCCGAAGGGGAAGAAAGAGGGGTGGAAGAGGAAACGCCCTGAACCACCGACGCCCAGGGGGCTGGTGGGATTCTAGACGCGTCGCGTATCCCCACCAGCCTGTGGATCGTGGAGTGAGTGCTCTGTAGGTCCCTGCCGTTCCTCTGCCCCTATCTCCGCCGACCCCGCGTACGGCGGTGGTACGGACTTCGCGCTGAGTGGTTCAGCCTTCAGCGTTGTAGTTCCGGTTCTCCCTGCCCGCTTTCGGCTAGGGGAACTGCTCGGAGCTTGGCGCCGACACGGACTTTCTCCGTTGCACTCGCACTGCTGTCTGCTTCACTTCGGTGTGGCCGGCGCCTATGTGCGTTTGCCTTAATGCGGAACGCTTTGCTCAGTGCATGTGCACTCCACGCATCGCGTGTAATTCGCGTAGCTCGCGTCCCGGACTTTGCTTTCGCCGCCTGACCGAAAAAATATCCCCACCAGCCCATCCAGAAACGAGGTCCAGGCGAGTTGAGGAGGTCAGGGAAGTGCGGGAGCAAAGAGGGGGACGGTCGAACCGTGCGAAGGAGGGAGGAAAAGAATGAGGAGGCTGGATGGATGGATGAGGGAGTGGGGAAAAGGAGGATCAATAGGAGGAGGAGGAGGAGGAGGAGGAGGAGGAGGAGGAGGAGGAGGAGGAAGAGGAGGAGGAGGAGGAGGAGGAGAACACGAAGAAGAAGAAGAGAAGGAGTAGGAGGAGGAAGGGAGAGCAGGAGGAGGAGGGAAAGCAGAAAGGCCAGAGGTCTCTTGGATGCCTCTCGGAGCCTCTTGGGGTATCTCTTGGGCGCTTCTTGGTGGCCTCTTGGGACGTTTTGGGGGTCTCTCGGCGGCCCTGGGAGGCTCTTGGGCGTCTTGGGTGCCTCGGGGGGGCATCTTGGGGCCGCTTGGGGTCCTCTTGGGGGCCTCTTGGGGGCCTCTTGGGAGCCTCTTGGGGCCATCTTGGGGCCATCTTGGGCCCTCTTGGGGCCTCCTGGGCGCCTTTTGGGGCCATCTTGCAGGAGATCGATCAAAGAAGAGGGGAACTCCAATTCGCGTTTTCCTTTCCAAGAGGCCCCATGGGACCAAACCCTTAGTAAAACCAATGGTTTTTGTCTTCCTCGCCGAGGCCGTTTTGGGCGCTCTAACTACCCGCGACCAGCCTCGTCCAGGTCCAGGGGAGGGGGGTAGGGGGAGGGGTCAAAACACCCCCTCCGCACGCAAGCCGTCTAGCTCACTCCCACCCGC